TGAATTTCGGACCTGGCAAAGCACCAGTGAATCTTTCTTTTAAGACACGGCACTTAATAAAACTTGTGCTATTTTTTTTTGCCGCAATCTGTGTGCTAAACCCGGGCACTTCAAACCGAAAACAAAATAACGGGGAAAAAAAGAGGCTGCAGTGAACAACCGTATGGGACTGGAATTTGTTTTCGGTGCAGTTTTAAGGAAATGACCAGTTTCTATTTCTGGATTGTAGTGGAAGCTACTTTTGTTTGTGTGAAAAGACTAATAACCAACAACAAAACAGGTGAGAGTGTCACTTACAGTACACCCGCCTACTATAATGCCACTGAGTGGCAAAAGTCGTTATTCTTAATTTAACCAGGTTTTCTTCAGAAAGACACACTACACTTATCCATTTATACAGTTTGGGTGGGCGTTTTTTACTGAACCAGTCTGGGTGAGGTACATACCTGTAGCTTGAGGGTACAACATGAGTACCTGAACCCATAAGCTTCCAGAGTCTGAAACACCCCTTCCCACTGTTGTACAGAGCACTATATTCTCACATTTCTGCACACAGTTCTAAAATTTGGTTGCAGTCTGGAATCAGTGGACACCCAATTGTTGATGCTTACTTTTTTGTTGCTGAGTAGCTTTATGTTGCTAAGAATGTTCTTTTTTATAATAGCATGACCCTGACAGAAAATTTGTGTGTTGATTTTCTTGTTTGCATTGCTTTGCCTAGTCATTAGTGATCCTTTTATCTCATGTGTTCTTTTTTTTTGTCTTGATTTCTTATCGATTCAAAGACTAGCTTGCACGGCTTTAACATTATTTCGGCAGGTTTTTAAAAAAATACTTTTTAGTATTCCTGAACTCACGCATTCCATTCGGCTCAGACCTAAAGTCTCATGTGAACGTCTTCTTTTTCACACAAGTACAGAACCGTATTGAAAATTCATTATGTGTAAAAGCTTCACAACATCTGCTACATGTGATGCATTTTTATTAGCAAGCTTGTTCAATGGCCTGTTTGTGTTTATAGTGTATTATCTTTAGAAGCATGCCCATGCTTCCTGCTGTTCTGATCACAGGCTGATTATTATCGCGGTAGACGTATGCTCCCATGCAAGCCTGTCACTAAAACAAACCCCTCTTAGACCACAACAGTCTCTGTGGTCAGGGGAGAAAAACAGATCCAAATGATCAAATCTTCTGAATGAGTAACATGACATGTATTTGCCACCCGGTTCAAATTCAACATTTGCAATCTTTTTTGTAATGACATAATCTTTTCATCTTGATATTTCTCTCAATAGTCTGTAGATTCATCTCATTTTATAACGTGCTGCGTTAATGGTTCGGGGATGAAACATATCTGAAATTTAAAATCGGGTCAGATGCAGTCGCATAATATCTGTGCAGTCAAAAAGTCAAAAGGCTACTAAACTGTGAAAATATAATTAGAACGTTTGTACTGAGCCAATGAATACTGCTCTCCGGATAAACATTTGCAAATCCAAATGTGTATGAATGCAGCCATCCCTTCCAAAGTTTAAATCATAGAGTACAATATGTTCTCTTTGTGTGTTTCTGTATGTGTGAGTCTGCTCCACAATAAAAATATTTTTTTTTTGGCTATGTTGGTTAGCTATTTTTATCAGTGGAAAGTCTTTATTCCGTACATTTTATTATATATGTACCTAAAGAATGTTCATTTGTAGCATAAGGATGATTTTGAATGAAAAAATAAGTGTATAGATGTGTACACAATCATATCACTTTATTATAGATTGTCTGCATTTTACTTATAAATTATCTGTTCTTTTATTTCTGCCTGTTTTGTTATTGTCTTCATCATGTTTCCAGTCTCACGGTCAGTCTCATGTAATTGTGGCTTTTGAGACACTAAATAAAGGTTTTCTTCTTATAAGTTTTTTTTTTTTTCAGTTGGGACATCTTATATCGAATAGTCATGTAGTTAATAGGTAAACATTCTGATTTAATTTGATAAATTAGAGCATGAAATTATTATTAAAATAAATTCCTCTTTTAAATAAACAAGACGGATAAGTCCTGACAGGAGTTACTCAAGTGCTGCATGACAGCATCTCCCTTTGATTTAGCTTTCTGATTCCCAAATCTCCATTTTTGTCATTTCAAGTTAAACAGTCAGACTGTGCTCAGCAGTGCCACCTCTGGCTAAAAATGAAAATCATCTTGAAAAGAAAGCATCCTGACTGGCGTTAATTTGGGTCAATGTGTGTTTTACTGTGTTTAGCCTTAATTTTTTCACTGGAACAGGGTAATGCTAATGTTATATGGCAATACAATTAAAAGTAGCCTGGATATTACAGTTCAGATTTTTTTTTAAATAGTAGGTGAAATAAATTTTGCTCTGCATTTTATTATTTTTATTCTGGTTTTGGCTTTTATGCTTTATGCCACACTTAGACACAGATGATAATCCCTGCTGAGTGCTGAGCTCTGGTAGTAGGCTTACAGTGCTCAGATATGTCTGGTGAAACTTTCCCTGCTTTATGGCCTCTAATTGTTTAAATACTTAACGAGTTTCAGTGGTGTATTATATTTGCTTATAGTATATGCTGTTACCTTTAAAACCAGTAATTATTTCTTGATTGTCTCAATTAGCATTAAGGCTTACGACACACTTTCAATATTTGTAAGCAAGTCTGACTTGCAAATATCAGACTTAACCTATTCAGGTAGTCTGAACTGTATATAAACCTCATTTTCATACTGAAAATTTACTTTTTTAACAACATTGTTAACGTTGTAAGCTGAACTATTTTTGTTGTGACATTCTTTTCAGGTTTTCGAAAGCAGCATAAACCATGATGGTCTTTATATCTAGTTACAAAATAGCAACATACAGTGTTCTGCATTGTTACTGTTGGAGAGAAATATTATATTATGTATTTTAAAATTGCTTGAAGAACTGCTGGCTTTAGCTCAAGAGTTATTTTACTTTTCTCTTGATGATGACAGTAAAATATTTATTTAAATGGTAAAGGCAGGTTTAAAAATTCATTTCAGAATTGATAGCCTAAACCGGGAAGTGAAATAGCACTCAACACTTGTTTTAAATGAAAAAAAATGTTATCTTTCTTTAGCTAAGTGAAAATATTTTACAGAAACATTTTGAGTTCTCTAAAGCAAAGTGACATTTCTTATCAATTGTCTTTTAACTCTGTATCTACTCTTGTATCTATGCTTTCATTTATACCAGTTAATAACAGCTGGTGGAGCTGGTCTGGTGTCTTTAGTCAGAGGGATGTTTGGCTCGGTTTTTTGTGTAGTTCACAATTGTCCCTGGATGTGATTATATAGCAAATTTATAGTTGTAATGATGTTTTCTTGGTTAAAGTACAAGACTGTTATCACAATAACCAGTCAGACATATTTACTCTAGGGGGCGGTTTTTTACAATTTATGTAGAATATAAGCTTGATTAAGTCATGAATGTACTGTAGCATGTGAACTGCATTTTATACAGAATTAACATTTAAGCTTTTAGCATGCACATTTCTTGTAGAGTTAAAGTCTTATACAGTATATCCTTAAAACCTTTCATTCTTAAACAACTCAGACTGTGTTATGGTTTATTGAATAATAAAACGCAGAATGTTGAGATAGGGCAGATTATCAAAACTGTGGATTGTTTTTCAGTTGTTGTCATAATTTCAGTCATACCAGTGATAAATTATTCATATGTCAGCATTCCTGTGCAAAATAATAAAGTATCAATATATGTGTGTTAGAAATAAATTCAGTTATGTTGAACTTGTTCATAACACTCAGTTTCTTTATCTGCATTTTTTCTGGAAAAGGGGCATTTCAGCTCCTAATGTCAATATATTTTATTTTTATCTTCTCCTAATCTGTTTTGTCTGACAGTTTGTACAAAAGGGCAGTAGGAAAGGTGAACTGAAGGTGTCTATGTTAATCTAAAATGAAACGAACATGACTAGGAAGCAAAGGTCTTTGTGGAAGGGTAATTTTTCCTTTCTATTTCTGTTGAAGGTAAATATCTAAAATATTTTGCAGAAAAAAATTAAGTTATGTGATAGAAAGGTAATTACATGAAAGGTTCTTATCAGACAAGAAAAGAGCTTACTCCACTCTAAAATGTGAACATCAGCAGCATAATCTCCATGTTTTGTCTTCTAAACTAGGTACTCTTTTAAGGCATTTGCTGTCATGATTTAGAAAGTTCAAGCAGTGCCCTTACTCTGTACATATTTGTGTGTAAACAATACTATATGTGTTATGATGCTGTATTTTCTTTGATTTTTTAAATTCCTTTTTATTGTATGGTTATATATATATATGCATTGAAACTCAAGTAAATACTGGATTTCAATTATCCAGTTAAACAGGCACGGTTTGACTGGACAGTGGTTATTGACTCTCTTTTCAAAGAGGTCTTTCTTTGGTGGTCTCTAACTAGCCCTCAGTGGATATCACCCAAAAAAAAAGCCACACATTCATCATATTCTGGCATTTTCTTGGGGACGGGCCTCAGACTGATTGCAGTAGAGACTTGGCATTCCGAGTGACTGCAATTCTGTGGATCTCTTTATGGGAAATATGAGGAATCAAATAGGTGACGCGAGTTATTACACTTCTCATTGTTTATTTGCTTCTTTTGGTTATCATATCGTTTGCTGTTGTGTATTGGATGAAGGCTGTTTTTTGGTTAGGAGGCTTTGAAGTTTGTTTTTTTTTTATTTACCAGGTATTTGATTTCGACTACAGAAACATCATTTTCCACAGAAATAAAGTTTTCTGGAAAAAGGTCAAAGATAGGCAGTTACCCTTTAAATAATGCCAACCTCTGTTTTTTTCTGGTACAGCCACTACAGAAGTTACTAAAGCCATCAATCAACAGACTTCCACAGAATGATGACATTACCTGTACCCACCGACTGATTTGTTGTGTGTTCTGCCATATCTGAACTGATGAAGACAACAATGAAAAAATGTTTTTTTTTCTATTCAAGGATTTTCTCCAGGGGGACAGCAGTAGAGCACAGAAGAAGCTGGGATGGAAACTGAGAGTGTCTTTTGAGGTGAGTTATAATTCCTTTCTTATTTCCAATATTCCCAAAGGACTTTGAATACTTTAGATTAACATGGAGTCCCAGAGTTGGGACCCAGCCCACTTAAGTAATACATATAGTACTGATTTCTGCATCTAAAGCTGTAAGCGCCCAACAAAGAGGAAGATGATTTGTAAAGTACTTAAAAATGTTGAAAAGCATGCTTAATTATTTTATTGCCTGTGTTAGTATTATGATGATCATGATGTTGTTGTTATTATTATTATCACTTAGATTGTGGATATGTTACGCATGTCTGAATGAATAAGAGTCTGAATTTTAGGTTGGTATTATATTAAAAAATGTAATGTTTGAATTTGAGGTAAATTAAATATATATATTTCAGATATATACAGATGCACAGTAAAAATTTAACAGTCTGAGATTTAAAATAGTTGCTCATTCAGCGCATAATAATATATGTATTAAAAGGTAAGTACTGTAAATGGTTTTGTTGATTGGTGGAGTAGTTATTCCTTGAAATGGCAAAAGTTTGAACTTGATCATGTCTTTATAGTGTCAAGTGCTCCATGTTTGGTATTGAGTTGAGATCAAATAGGTTGATTAAGAATCTATATCAACAACTCTGGAAGAGGTGACCATGCTCTGAAGATCACCTGTTTGCTATAGGCATGATCGAGAGCAGCCTGTCTGTGAGAGAAGTTGTCCTGAGAACAAGATGTTCTGCTTCCACAATCAGCGGTCTAGTCATGAAAAAAAAAAACAGGAAACCAGCTCTGTATGGGACAAGCCACATCCTGGAAGGCCGATAGTCACAATACAAGCCCAGGACTGTCGCATCTGTCTGATCCATTGATTGAATTGTTCTCAGGCTGCAGTGTCTGCAGACTCTGAGGCTGTTCGGGGGGTGATATGCTGACAGCTGAGAGGCAAAAGTTTAGCCCCAAGAACAACTGGAGACATAGTATAACATTGGTGGAGTTACATTCACCTTGACCTTGAAAGACAATATTTGTAAAAACATCATTACATTAAGTGACCATTATGCTGGTGCTGTTCAACCAGTGCGGTGGTTTAAGTGCAAAATTGTGGAAAGCAGTATCCTTTAACACCAAGAACAGTTTTGGTGCAGATTGAAGGCAACCTCACTGCTCAGAGACACATTAGTAAAAGTCCTTGAACTAGCTGTTAACTACTGATGCCACCCAGTTCAGAAATGTCAGGTTTCTAGCAAGACAATGCAACGCCGTACCACACTAGGATTATAGTGGCACAACTTCAAGAAAGCAATGTCAAGGTTTCGCATGGTCAGCTTTTATTTCTGACCTGAGTGCAGCAGAACACCATTGGTGCCAATTCACCAGTTCCGCCAACGGGAGACAAATTTGACCACCTGACCGTTGTCTCCACAAAGTGTCGGACCATCACACGGCAGTCTTTCCAGAGGCTGAATAAGTCTATGCATCAAAGCTGCCAAGATAATGTTAATACACAGAATGTCCATGCCTGATACAAACTATGTAATGTTTTAACTTGGACACTGTCATGTTTTACGATTTGTTCATTTGTACTTTCGTTCACATTTTCATTATTTTGCTTCAGATCTGTGTTTACAAGATTGGGTCAATTCTCATAGACCTGAATGTTGCATTTCTTTTTTGCATGAGTATATATACTGCACACTAATGTATATTATAACGTAGTTATATTGAATTGTATACTGTGTGTATATACAGTATATGTCAACATACTGTATATTGATATTGATGTTGCCTTTGTTACCCTTAGAGTGGGAAATGACCGAACGTTTGTAAAGAGCACACATACTCTTGATCACACAGAAAAGGAACGTGTTTGTCTATTTTTCATCATGCGTTGCAGCAACGGGTGTCTTTCAATGGCTCATTGAAAGACAGAGTGGGTCCGCTCTGGGGTTGTCCCGGGTAGGATCGTCGCCATGTGAAATCACCTAGGGCTTTCAGCGTCTATGCACACATCATCACTAGGCTGAACCACCTACGTCTGGCTAATACAAAGAGACAATGTGACAAGTTGATCACCTGTGGGATGAATTGGGTAGATCTGGAAGTTAATGTCTATCAGGTCTAAATAGCGTCATTAATCTTGCAGCTGTTGTAAAGACTTAAAATAGGGGAATATCTCTGTGGTCCATGTGCAATGTCTCCGTCTATCTGTGCCATGCGATGTTCATGCTTCTGTTCAAGGCAAAGCATGACACAATACACATTAATCACTTTATGATGGGTATCTGACTCCAAAGCACAATGTGACCCATACCTCTTATGAATTTCAAGCTTTCTTGTCACAGTGCTGTTTATCATGCACAGAAAGATGTCAGAAACAAACACAGAATATACTGTATGTTTTATTTATTGTTTGACAATAATTATTTAGTTTGTATTTTAAAATTCAAATAATTATAAAGCTGTTCTTATCAAAATTGAAAATTGCAGCTGCTGAGAAGATTAGTTTCCTACGGGGTAATACCCTTAATATTTATTCAAACATTTCACAGTGAAGAGATAGAGAAAGAGGTGTGCACAGGCATTTCTGAGGCAGTAGCCAATTTAGGAAATCATTTTGGTTTATTAATCAGATTTCTCAAAGAAAATAAATATTTTGTACAGTGGGTTGTCAAAGGAGGAAATCAGAACATACACATCTCAGTACGTTAAAGAGCTAGACGTTGGATTGTTTGATAAATGTGAGGCATTTTACTTAGCCCATGTGGCTGTTTCATATTTTCCTTAGTGTTCTGTGACACAAGCTTTATATGACTCAACTCTCAGATATTATATCTAACTGTGGTAAGAAGGCCAGTGCCCAGTTCACAGAAAAACAAAAGAGTGATATTTTTACTGTTAAAGTCACAGTCATACGTTAAAGTATTTTTGCTATATGTTCTTTTGGTGATACTGCAAAAATAAGAATGAAATTTATTATCAGATAATTGATTTCCCTTTTCAAGGCCAACATTTCAACAAAATAAATATTAGACTCCTCTTCAACTCCACGATTTGTTGATAACAAAGACATTTTAGTGGACAGACAGAATGGCCATTTCTTGAACTGCTTATTTCTTGTGAGTTTCTTCCCCTGGGATTGAAGCACCAGTATGCCTGAGAGGAGCGGAGCTGGGTACAATGCTAAAGACTAAATAAAAATGAGGTTGAAGCCATCTGGAATGATGTGTTCTTCTCTCCTCCTCTCCCGTCTTCTACATATTCACTGATTCTGTCAGCTGGTTGCCCTTTACGTTATTTTCTCACAGCTTGTAGATATATTTCAGGTTTGGAAAATAATTACTTTAATGAGTCATAAAACAGAAACAAAGTGTTTCATATGTGTATATATGGTTATGTCTGTCATCTGTCATTGGTGTCAGTATTTAATCCTGATTTCACGTGTTGTTATGTCAAACCTATGAAAATAATACACTTACGATAGACTTACATATTTTGTTTCAGGAAAGATAGAATGATTTTTTTTCTGACCTAGCAGGCTGTGCTGAAATCATAGAATACTAACCCGCTCTTTTTCTTTCACAGGAGCTTGTGAAGGAAATGGTGAATGCAGACATCGAGCTGATGAGAAACAACCCCAATGCCTGATACTGTGTTGGTCACTTTTCACTGAGGAAAGTGTTTGGCACATCAACCAGAATTCTGCTTCCACAACGCTGTGATTAGAAGGAATCGGATAAAAATGAGAATCATTAATATTTTTATCGGTTTCATATATCTGCCTGTACTATTCTCTCTTCAAATTTGGATTGTGTGTACTGGAATAAAGAAATCAAATCATCCTTTCAACACTGAATTTGAATTTCTGTACTCTTAATTTGTTTTGTGAAATTGTTTCTTTACCTCATGAAATTCTTAACTGAAACGGGGACCAAAAACTATTTGTATAATAAATCCAGGGATTTTGAATGATGTGAGCGTCTGTTTATTTATTCCTGAACCGTTAAATATCACTAGATACATTTTTTGGTTGGTAGTTTGTGTTGTGAATCTGTCTCTTGTCTCCCTCTCTCTCTCAAACACCCACCCTCCCTGTGCATACAGTCCAGTTTAATTTAGAAGCAGAATACTGGTATTTGTTAACATGTCTCTTTTTACATTTCTAACACGTTAACTCGGTTCTCTGCAAGGTGATTTCCTTCAAAATCTCACTGAAGGGGTTGCGTCTGCGGAAAAGTTCTAGCTGGGAGCAGTGATGTGGAAGCCGTTGACAATAAAATCCTCTATTTCTCGCGTCAGACTAGTAGAATCGAGACATTCACTGACTACGGTGTGTAAAGTTTCTATAATTAGACCTTCTACCGGTGGGCGAATGTTCTAAAAGGTAGTTTTAAAGGGAGAACTTCAAGGGGAGTCAATGTTGTTTCAGTGTTTCGTGCCAGTCTTCCCGGGTTATCCAAAGGTCGCTAAGCTTTTCAGTTTCCCCTCGGTCTCCGCAGTCCTTGCAATCACACTGCTCTTTTATTCCATAGGAAACGTGTATTCAAAAGTGCTGGAATGTGCTTGGATATGTTTAATTTGAAATACTCCAACTCACCTCAACTTAGAAGTCTGTACTAATAAAATTGTTCTCTCTAATAGCCTGTGTTAGGCACCAGAGGTGAATAAGAATATTGTCTCTGGACTGAGTTGTTTTTATTGTTAATAAAAACAGAATTGAGCAGTAACGACCAAAATTTCCATTCAAACATTTTTTTAAAGGAATTACAATTAAACTAGTTGTAGGACCACCTTCCTAATTAAACATTTCTGATCTAATTCACGAAATATTTTATTAAAAAAAAACCCGTATGCGGTTTTGCAGTAGCATTTTACTTTTAAAAAAGCGGATTAGAATTGAATCAAAAGGAGCATAATGGTAATGGAGTGTTTGAAAATTAGCTTGGAAGGACTGGTACCCGTATTCTGTTTCCATCATCCCCTTTAGTGGAAAACAGGAGATATTTATTTTAATGGAAAAGTCGTTTGACATTAAACTTAATGGAAAATGTGGGTTTCATTGCAGGTTTAAGAAGAATGAACAGGGTGGGTTAGCGTTTTCTTTAAGAGAACACCTAGAGCATTAAATTCGTACTTTGACGGTCAGACAGAGCCGGAGTCTGTGTGCTGTTTAATTGGAAACAGATGGCGCTTTGAGGTTGGCCTGAAGCGGACTGAGCAAAAACAGCAGTTTCCACAGAGCCGAGCTCGACACCATACAGGTGCATGGCGTACACCACCGCTAACTACGCAGGCTCCCTTTCTAATATTTTGTTCTGTGGATTAAATTTTGCAGTTCGCAGGACTGAATATTGAGCCAGTTTCTGGCCATTTCAGCCAGCCGTTAAATTCATGAAAGCGAGCTTGACGGCGAATAAAAAATGTTATTTGTTTTCGTTCTTCGCTAGATCTGCGCATTTTTTTCCAACGCGCTACAGAAGACCGAACAATCCAGATTCGACTCCACCTTATTTTTGGAACAACATGGCAAATGTCTTTTTCATTGTTTTAATTGAATGGATTGCAAATTTAATTTGATGGAAACGCCATTTTAAACACCCACACCAAGAATCATTTACATTCCACATCATATTTTCTAAATGCCAACCACTACCTATGTATTAACTAAGCAAATAATAAAACTACACATTTGACTCAAAGAGCCTCGCAATGTGTTGGATCTCACGTCTAATAAAAAGCTGGCAGGTTGTCGCGGACCCACAATATCAACCACGTAACAGTCCCATCAGAGTAAATATGTAACATCATGAGTAGAGGCGTGTGCTGTAACCCCTCTAAAATTTAAATTTGGATCTTTTACAAAAAACGTAGAAGTCCTTTCAGTTCTGAACTAAAGATAACACACAATCCAATGAACATTAGTTGCACTTTGTCTTTAATTCTTGTTCTTTGTACACGAAGCTGCATATACAAACTGAGTAAATGTGTTGAGGGTTTTTAGATGTATACATTTATTTGTAAAAATACTCTTTAAATAGTGCTGAACGTTGTTCATGTTTATTCCAGTTTATTATGGACCCTGCATTCGTGAGTATCAACCAAGAAGTTGTGCGTTTCTTCAGCCGCATATGCAGTATGTGTCTTTCGGGTTTGCATTCCCTTATTTTTTAAATTACACACAGGTCTGACATACAGAGAGTCTTGCTTTACAAGGTCGTGTAATTTAAACGTCTTTGATAAGACTCATTAATCTCAAATTAGAAGAAGATACCCTGTAATGCTCATATGGTTTTATCTGTCAGTTGTGGAGGAGAGGCAGCGATTGGAATCAAGTGGAATGGCCTCGTACGACAAAAAAAAAACAATATCTGGAGGGGAAAATGCCTCAAAATACTGAATTTGAATTGGCTAGATAAATCCCTCCTACTCCACTGTACTGTAGACATTCCTGCAGCTCAGCTAAACAAAGAAATGGAGCAAGAGCTTTGAATTTCGGAGTTGTGTGTGCTTTTGTGCTTTCGGTCATACTGTCAAGATGAGAGAGAAATGGTTAAGAAAGTTAAGCGTAAACATGCTTTCAAACCAAAATCCAGAAAGTCATTTGATGGTGTGTGCTGCTCTGTTTACCGAGCTTAGAAAAGGATGAAAAGAAAAGCTAACCCTCAACAATGCAGTCAGGCCTTATGCCGTGACACCCTTATTTCAACAGGTATTCTCAGAATCCATATTTCCGAGTGCTGTATTTTCATGCTGTATTCAATCTACCACATCAAATTAACAAGCAAAATATATTTAGAAAGCGGCAAATCAGTTATGAGACCTTACAGTCAATAAAGGTGAAGCTCTAAAAACAGACATCTGTGCATTTTGTGAGCGGGACAGCGACGTATGTGTGTCTCCCCGATATTTTCTTCGCATCTATTTAAAAATCTACAATTCAGCTTTATTCTTAAACCCTCTAATTTAAAGGTTTTAAGTGTAATAAATATTTCCAAATGCCTTGCATTCTAATATATTTTTGATTCATGAAATGTGATGATAAATATGCTGTGTATACGTCTGATTCTTTGGCGATGTGGGAAGAATAATGCGTTACTTTTAAAGCATTGCATGACATTTTTCGAATCCGCCTCAATTAAAACGACTGTATTGTTAAGCAAGGTAAATATACAATTATTACTAATGTTGCTGTTTAATGTTTTCACATTTCTAATATATTTTGTTTTAAATTACAGAATGAATCTTTGATATAGTCGTTAAATGTTTACGACCCTTAATTTGCTAAACTGTGGTTATCTTCAGGCACTAAGGGGGCTCTAAAATAACCTGACAGCACTGGACTACCGAGAAGAAATAAACAGTGCTTTAAAACAGCTTTTATTTTTGCTTAATCTCAAAATAGTATTAATTGGAACATTGTTTACTCATAAATAAATGCTCCTGAAGGTGAAAAAATAAGGAGTTACCCTGATATTATAACGAACATATCCACCTAAAGGGCCTGCCTTCCTAAATACCTACCTACAAACATACAAAATCCTGCTTCTTTTAAGAACTTCTTTAAAAAATCTTTAGAAGGTTGCTCGGGGACATTAACTTTAGTTTCAGCGAAGGTCTTTTCAGCTTCGCGTCTGGAAAAGGTACATAAAATACCCATTCTGCTCAGAGCTTTTTGCTTCGTGGTAGTGAGACTGCAGAGGCGGCTGGAATTTCAGGAAACCAGTCTGAAATCCGTGTGAATGCGTGTGTGCGTCTATATAACTAAGAATATTTGTCTGTATATGCACACAGGCACATATACACATTATATATACACATTAAAGCAGAACAGAGATTGCTTCCACACAAATTGATATTTTCAGTTCCCGTTTAAGAACGTTCTATTGTTTCTCTCGCACTCTTTTTAAAAAAAAATGGCAATAAATTGCTGATCTTTTCTATTTGCTGTAAGGAAAAGTTTTGATGACACACTTCGATCTTTTAAAAGAAAAACCTTTTAATCAGAAAAAGAAAAACCTCTCATAGTATTTCAATGACCTGACATGCTATATGGGGGCTGCATTATCGTGAAATGATTAATATTTAGAAAACATTAGTATTCCGTAATTAAAATTAAAAACAATTTTTTCTTCACGTTGAAGGGTTTGATAAATGTGTGATCAATTTCTTGTTAATTTTCCATTTGTTTCTGTCTATCCATACACGTAGAAAATTTATTTTCAGACGGGAAAGAAATGTTTACGTTTAAAATATCAGCAAAGAAAATATTTGTCGTTCCTTTCCTTAAACTTTGTGTTAACGAAAACTATTTTATTGTGATTTGTTATATTACATCACGAAAAGATGTTATTCCTTGTTTGAAAAATGATTTTCTTAATTTACAGAGTGCATTGGCTGTTTTTTCAAACATGTTTGTTTTTAGTTTAAAACGTAATCGACCAACGAAAGGGTTCCTAAAGTATAGCCTATGTATGTATATTAAAATGTCATTAAAGTGACTTAAAGAACCGTACTTCCACGTACTAGATGGTTAGATAGTGTAAAAGTACTTATATCAATTACAAAAACGACAAAGGGTTAATACGCATTTTCTGTATTTTCGACAAAGTTACTTATGTGTTTCAACTTAGTTGAGGTTGGAGGATCGATATGTTGCGCGTGATTTTCTCCTGCTTGTTCGTGCAAAACTATTTTGTACAAAGAACAGAACATGTTTTAATGTCCAGGAAAGGCCAGTGTATCCGGAGACTTTGTATGAAAGTTCGGGAAACAATGTGGCACGTGGAAAACTTCAGGTAACTCCCCTGTGTTTATGTATTTGTGCACTAGACCCAATTCGCCGTTCTTGAAAAATTGCGGCTTTCTGCCCACCCAGGTTGAACCAAGCAGTGTTTATTTAGGGGCTAAATTGTCAAGAACACAATCCAATTCCACCGTCGGCCTAGGGAGCAAGTCTCAGAGACACGAGATTT